CAGATTTCGATCAGGATATGTTACCTTGACCAAGATCGATGGGCATGTTGCTGGAACATTCAGAACCATGGACTGAATCAGAGAAAACGAAGTCGTTGTTTACTGTCAGCCGGGTTGCCTCGGCAATCACCGCCATACGAAGGGCGGTGCTTGCTGGCAATATCAGCGTGAACGGCTGGATGTCGAGTTGCAGCCTCAGTCGATAGCCATGAACGGATTTCTGGACCTGACAAAATGCAACTAATGGAAATCGGTCATCTAAGAATCAAAACGTTTATACCTCAAGTCCCTTACTGGCGCGCTTCAACTCGCAAAACTTTTCTTGGGCTTGTAGAAAGTTTTGCCAAAACAAAAGCACCTCAGCGAAGAAACTCTGAGTGTGAATAAAATAAAAGCTATCCTGGCAAAATAACGCGAAGCACGCGTCGAACTCGCGTTCAAGCAAGAAATCGACCTGGCGGTATCTATAAAAAGAGATCATGAAATCATGCTGAAGCTAATAAAACCAGAAGACAAAGAATAATGATCCAAAATCCACTTAACCTTCAAACATGAGCCTAATTAAACTCAAATATGTATAAGTACTATTCATGACTATTTACGTATTGCTAATCAGTTTACACAAATATAAATTCAGTAGTATGTATTATTCAATTTACATCTATAACTGATTTTTAAACTGAAGTCGAACCAAGCCTGATCTGAAACGTCACCATCTCATGTAATGACTGCAATTAAAGATCTATGTGTTGTTATGCCGCCCGTGACATTCAGAAACATACTGTTATCTCCCGCATAAAAAATTCGCTTGACGACGACGGTCCACACTGTATCATCCCCAGATGACCACAACGTGGAAATGCAAGGACAGGACGCCATTCATCATCGCCAACGGAACTCTAGCATCGTCTCGAGTAGTTCGCATAAGAAGTACGTCTCTGCATTCGCAGCCTTTTAACACTTCTGCTATAAGGCGCTGGTTGCCGCATGTTAGACGGAAGTAATAATTTCCAAATGCAGATCTGCCTATAACTTATTCCTCCATGTCGTATGCTGGCCTCCTGATCGACGTAGGCTGTGTTTTTAGCTATCACACAAGAATCCCCTAGGCTGGCGTAAA